TTGCAAGGGTGTGCCGAAAGGGGTGGCGGGAACGCATCGGGAGCGTCGCGGGGCTTTCGGTGGACCTCCCACCCTGCTCCAACAGGTGGGGGCGTGGGGAAATGGGTGGCAAGGACGCATGGGAACGTCGCCATGGGGTTTTCGTTGAAGCTCCCCATGGGGCCACGAGCCGTGTATCTTTGTGAGGGGCCAGCCGACGTGGGCGTGCCGGCGGGGACGCGTGGGAACGTCGCCACCGGAGCCTTCGGTGGGGCTCCCTATGAGGCCACGAACCGTTGCAAGGGTGTGCCGAAAGGGGTGGCGGGAACGCATGGGAGCGTCGCGGGCTTTCGGTGGAACTCCCTATGGGGCTCCGAACCGTGTGGGGGCGTGCCGAAATGGGTGGCAAGGACGCATGGGAACGTCGCCACTGGGGTTTTCGGTGAAGCTCCCCATGGGGCCACGAGCCGTGTGAGGGGTCAGCCGACGTGGGCGGCGGGGACGCGTGGGAACGTCGCCACCGGAGCCTTAGGTGGGGCTCCCTATGAGGCCACGAACCGTTGCAAGGGTGTGCCGAAAGGGGTGGCGGGAACGCATGGAGCGTCGCGGGCTTTCGGTGGAACTCCCTATGGGCTGGCTCCGAACCGTCGTGGGGGAGTGCCGAACATGGGTGCAAGGACGAAATTGGAAACGTCGCCATGATTTTGGGTTTCGGTGAAGCTCCCCATGGGGCCACGAGCCGTGTGAGGGGTTCAGCCGGACGGTGGGCGGTGGGACGCGTGGGAACGTCGCCACCGGAGCCTTAGGTGGGGCTCCCTATGAGGCCACGAACCGTTGCAAGGGTGTGCCGAAATGGGTGACGGGAACGCATGGGAGCGTCGCGGGCTTTCGGTGGAACTCCCTATGGGGCTCCGAACCGTGTGGGGGCGTGCCGAAATGGGTGGCAAGGACGCGTGGGAACGTCGCCACTGGGGTTTTCGGTGAAGCTCCCTAGGGGGCCACGAGCCGTGTGAGGGGTCAGCCGACGTGGACGGCGGGGACGCGTGGGAACGTCGCCACTGGAGCCTTAGGTGGGGCTCCCTATGGGGCCACGAACCTTTGCAAGGGTGTGCCGAAAGGGGTGGCGGGGACGCATGGGAGATTCGCGGGCTTATCCCTATGGGGCTCCGAGCCGTGTGGGGGCGTGCCGAAATGGGTGGCAAGGACGCATGGGAACGTCGCCACTGGGGTTTTCGGTGAAGCTCCCTAGGGGGCCACGAGCCGTGTGAGGGGTGTGCCGACGTGGACGGCGGGGACGCGTGGGAACGTCGCCACCGGAGCCTGAGGTGGGGCTCCTTATGGGGCCACGAACCGTTGTAAGGGTGTGCCGAAAGGGGTGGCGGGGACGCATGGGAACGTCGCGGGCTTTCGGTGGAACTCCCTATGGGGCTCCGAACCGTGTGGGGGCGTGCCGAAATGGGTGGCAAGGACGCATGGGAACGTCTCCACTTTAATTTTCGGTGAAGCTCCCTATGAGGCCACGAGCCGTGTGAGGGGTCTGCCGACGTTGGACGGCGGGGACGCGTGGGAACGTCGCCACCAGAGCCTTAGATGGCGCTCCCTATGGGGCCACGAACCTTTGCAAGGGTGTTCCGAAAAGGGTGGCGGGGACGCATGGGAGCGTCGCCAACGGGGATTTCGGTGGAACTCCCTATGGGGCTCCGAACCGTGTGGGGGCGTTCCGAAACGGGTGGCGGGGACGCATGGGAACGTCGCCACTGGGGTTTTCGGTGAAGCTCCCCATGGGGCCACGAGCCGTGTGAGGGGTCAGCCGACGTGGGCGGCGGGGACGCGTGGGAACGTCGCCACCGGAGCCTTCGGTGGGGCTCCCTATGAGGCCACGAACCGTTGCAAGGGTGTGCCGAAAGGGGTGGCGGGAACGCATGGGAGCGTCGCGGGCTTTCGGTGGAACTCCCTATGGGGCTCCGAACCGTGTGGGGGCGTGCCGAAATGGGTGGCAAGGACGCATGGGAACGTCGCCACTGGGGTTTTCGGTGAAGCTCCCCATGGGGCCACGAGCCGTGTGAGGGGTCAGCCGACGTGGGCGGCGGGGACGCGTGGGAACGTCGCCACCGGAGCCTTAGGTGGGGCTCCCTATGAGGCCACGAACCGTGCAAGGGTGTGCCGAAAGGGGTGGCGGGAACGCATGGGAGCGTCGCGGGCTTTCGGTGGAACTCCCTATGGGGCTCCGAACCGTGTGGAGGCGAGCCGAAATGGGTGGCAAGGACGCATGGGAACGTCGCCACTGGGGTTTTCGGTGAAGCTCCAGCCGACGTGGGCGGCGGGGACGCGTGGGAACGTCGCCACCGGAGCCTTAGGTGGGGCTCCCTATGAGGCCACGAACCGTTGCAAGGGTGTGCCGAAAGGGGTGGCGGGAACGCATGGGAGCGTCGCGGGCTTTCGGTGGAACTCCCTATGGGGCTCCGAACCGTGTGGGGGCGTGCCGAAATGGGTGGCAAGGACGCATGGGAACGTCGCCACTGGGGTTTTCGGTGAAGCTCCCCATGGGGCCACGAGCCGTGTGAGGGGTCAGCCGACGTGGGCGGCGGGGACGCGTGGAACGTCGCCACCGGAGCCTTAGGTGGGGCTCCCTATGAGGCCACGAACCGTTGCAAGGGTGTGCCGAAAGGGGTGGCGGGAACGCATGGGAGCGTCGCGGGCTTTCGGTGGAACTCCCTATGGGGCTCCGAACCGTGTGGGGGCGTGCCGAAATTGGTGGCAAGGACGCATGGGAACGTCGCCACTGGGGTTTTCGGTGAAGCTCCCTATGGGGCCACGAGCCGTGTGAGGGGTCAGCCGACGTGGGCGGCGGGGACGCGTGGGAACGTCGCCACCGGAGCCTTAGGTGGGGCTCCCTATGAGGCCACGAACCGTTGCAAGGGTGTGCCGAAAGGGGTGGCGGGAACGCATGGGAGCGTCGCGGGCTTTCGGTGGAACTCCCTATGGGGCTCCGAACCGTGTGGGGGCGTGCCGAAATGGGTGGCAAGGACGCATGGGAACGTCGCCACTGGGGTTTTCGGTGAAGCTCCCTAGGGGGCCACGAGCCGTGTGAGGGGTCAGCCGACGTGGACGGCGGGGACGCGTGGGAACGTCGCCACTGGAGCCTTAGGTGGGGCTCCCTATGGGGCCACGAACCTTTGCAAGGGTGTGCCGAAAGGGGTGGCGGGGACGCATGGGAGATTCGCGGGCTTATCCCTATGGGGCTCCGAGCCGTGTGGGGGCGTGCCGAAATGGGTGGCAAGGACGCATGGGAACGTCGCCACTGGGGTTTTCGGTGAAGCTCCCTAGGGGGCCACGAGCCGTGTGAGGGGTGTGCCGACGTGGACGGCGGGGACGCGTGGGAACGTCGCCACCGGAGCCTGAGGTGGGGCTCCTTATGGGGCCACGAACCGTTGTAAGGGTGTGCCGAAAGGGGTGGCGGGGACGCATGGGAACGTCGCGGGCTTTCGGTGGAACTCCCTATGGGGCTCCGAACCGTGTGGGGGCGTGCCGAAATGGGTGGCAAGGACGCATGGGAACGTCTCCACTTGAATTTTCGGTGAAGCTCCCTATGAGGCCACGAGCCGTGTGAGGGGTCTGCCGACGTTGGACGGCGGGGACGCGTGGGAACGTCGCCACCAGAGCCTTAGGTGGCGCTCCCTATGGGGCCACGAACCTTTGCAAGGGTGTTCCGAAAAGGGTGGCGGGGACGCATGGGAGCGTCGCCAACGGGGATTTCGGTGGAACTCCCTATGGGGCTCCGAACCGTGTGGGGGCGTTCCGAAACGGGTGGCGGGGACGCATGGGAACGTCGCCACTGGGGTTTTCGGTGAAGCTCCCTATGGGGCCACGAGCCGTGTGAGGGGTGTGCCGACGTGGACGGCGGGGACGCGTGGGAACGTCGCCACTGGAGCCTTAGGTGGGGCTCCCTATGGGGCCACGAACCTTTGCAAGAGTGTGCCGAAAGGGGTGGCGGGGACGCATAGGAGCGTCGCGGGCTTTCGGTGAAACTCCCTATGGGGCTCCGAACCGTGTGGGGGCGTTCCGAAACGGGTGGCAAGGACGCATGGGAACGTCGCCACTGGGGTTTTGGGTGAAGCTCCCTATGGGGCCACGAACCGTGTGAGGAGTGTGCCGACGTGACGGCGGGGACGCGTGGGAACGTCGCCACTGGAGCCTTAGGTGGGGCTCCCTATGGGGCCACGAACCTTTGCAAGGGTGTGCCGAAAGGGGTGGCGGGGACGCATGGGAGCGGCGCCACTGGGGCTTTCGGTGGAACTCCCTATGGGGCTCCGAACCGTGTGGGGGCGTGCCGAAATGAATGACGAAAACCACCGGAACGTCGCCACTGGAGCCTCAGGTGGAGCTCCATACTGGGTCACGAATCGTGTGAAGGGTGTGCCGAAATGTGTGGCGGGGACGCGTGGGAACGTCGCCACTGGGGCCTCCTCAAGTGGAGCTCCCTATGGGGCCACAAACCGTGTGAGGTGTGTGCCACAATGGGTGGCGTGGACGCATGGGAACGTCGCCACTGAAGCCTTAGCTGGAGCTCCATATGTGGCCACGAGCGGTGTGAGGGGTGTGCCACAATGGGTGGCGGGGGCGCATGGGAACGTCGCTACCTGAGCCTTAGGTGGAGCTCCCTATGGGGTCACGAAGCGTGTGAGGGGCGTGCCAACATGGTGGACATGCAGAGAGGAGAGGCAGGGGTGGGAGGAGGGAGGAGGGGGAGGAAGAGGAGAGGAGAAGAGAAGACGCGGGGCGCTGTCTCTTCAACACGAGGACCCAACACCACACGACGGCTGGGAAAAACGCTCTTGTGGCGAAACCAAAAGGTACCGATACCGCTACTCCCCAGGCCTCTCCTGGGCTGCGACTGACCAGGATTTCGAAGCGAACCCAGCGGTGGCGACGAGGACCAGAAAGGGGAAAACGAGGGAAGGGTTGAGGTATGGGTGCGTTTTCCTTCTCCTCTCCTTCCCCTCGCCCTGCCCCCCCGTGGGTCCTGCTGCGCACGGGCTGCGCGGTCGTAGGCCCTGGTGCGCACGGGCCGCGCGGCCTGCTGCTGCAGGTCGCGGCTTGTGCGGCGCGGGCGGCTCGAGGAGGAGAGCCTGGAGGCAGCCGCGAGGGCCCTCCGTGCGCGCGCGGGGCCCACATCCATACCCGCCGATGTGGAGGCCCAGATCAACAAGGATACGATCGAGGAGGAGGAGGAGGAGGAGGAGGAGGAGGAGGCAAAGGAGGACGAGGAGGAGGAAGAGGAGGAGGAGGAGGAGGAGGAGAAGGAGGAGGAGGAGAATGAGGAGTAGGAGGAGGGGGAGGGGGAGCAGCAAGAGAAGGAGGAGGGGGAAGGAGGAAGGAGGAAGGAGGAGGAGGAGGAGGAAGGGGAGGAGGAGCAGCAGGAGGAGAAGGAGGAGGAGGAGGAGGAAGGAGAGGAGGAGCAGCAGCAGGAGGAGGAGGAGGAGGAGAAGGAGGAGGGCCGCCCAGCGCGGCCCGAGTTATGGCCAGAGGATCTGGGCGCTGTTCGGGCGCTGCTTCACGTGGGGGCGATGCCGACGGCGGAAAAGCGTGCTCTTCTCGTGCCACCTCTGGGCCCCAAGGGGGGGGGGGGAGGGGCACTTCGGGCCACGGAGGTGCACAGAAGGTGCACCTCTCTTTCCCCGCCCCATGCCTGTCAGCTCCAGACTCTGGATGGGGGGTGGGGCGCTCTCGGCCCTCAGGGGTTCAGAGAAACAATCCCTTTCCAACTCCGTTTCGTTTCTCTGTGCTGTCACTCCTCTCCCCCTTCTCCCTCCTCCCTCCTCCTCCTCCTCCTCCTCCTCCTCCTCCTCCTTCTCCTCCTCCTCCTCCTCCTCCTCCTCCTCCTCCTCCTCCTCCTCCTCCTCCTCTTTCTCTTCCTCCCCCTCCGCCGTGTCTACATTATTCTCTGGGTAATCGCCTTTCGTTTGTAGAAGATTCACGAGAACAAATTTCCTCTCTGGGAGGTAAACCTGAAACCGCTGTGGGCGAATTACATGTCGGTTCCTTATGGTGGTGGTGGACAACCAAACAACGTAAACACAAGCCACAAACAACAAAGAAACCACATGCGGATGACCCTGGCGAAGAACCCAACCCATTGTACACGAATGGCGACAAGTCGCAGGAACATTCCATGCACACGAACGCACTGAGAGATCCCGGTGGAGCTCCCAATGGTGCCACGAAGCGGGTGAGAGGTGTGCCGAGATGGGCCATGGTACGCATGCGAACCCTGTCACTGGGGCCTTCGGTGGAGCGCCCCTGGGGCCACGAAGCGTGTGAAGGGTGTGCCGAGATGGACCTGGGTACGCATGCGAACCCTGCCAAGGGGCTTTCGGCGGAGCTCCCTGAGGTGCTACGAAAACGTGAGGGGTGTACCGAAACGGACCCGGGTACGCATGCGAACCCTGCAACCACAACTTTCGGTGGAACTTCCCATGGGGCCAGGAACGGTGTGAGGGGTGTGCCGAAATCGATAACGGGTACGCATGCGAGCCCTGCCACTGCAGCTTTCCGTGGGGCTCCCTAGGGGGCCACGAAACGTGTGAGGGGTGTGCCGAAATGGACCCAGGTACGCACGCGCACCCTGCCATTGGAGCGTTCGGCGGAGCTCCCGATGGCGCCACGAAGTGTGTGAGGGGTGCGCCGAAATGGACCTGGGTACGCATGCGGACCCTGCCACTGGAGCCTTCGGTGGAGATTCCTATGGTGCAACGAAACGTGTGAGTGGTGTGCCGAGATGATTGGTGATTGTGATGATGATGACGATGCTGATAATGTTGCTGATGATGGTGATGCTGATTTTTGGGAATGATTATGATGATGGTGACGATGCAAGTGGTGATGATGGTGATGGCGATGATGCTGGTGGTGGCAATGGTGATTATGAGAAAATAAACTGCGAGGGCGATGCTGATGCTGCACAAGATGGCAATTCCGATGATGATGGTGAGGATGATAGGGATGGTGGCGATGATGACGCTTCTGACGAGCATGAGGAGGAAGAGGAGAGGAGGAAGGAAGGGATGGAGGAGGGGAGGGAGGAGGGGGGAGGGAGAAGGAGGAAGGGGACGCGCGGCGCTGCGGATTCAAAACGAGGACACAACTCACAGGAGGGCGGCGGGGAAGAACGAGCTAAAAAACCAAACAGAAACAATATCACTACTTACTCCACCGTTGCACTGCCCAACTGACGCCTCCCTCCACGTTCCATCCTCAATCCCACCACCCCCACCCCGCCGTTCACTCCTCCTCCTCCTCCTCCTCCTCCTCCTCCTCCTTCTCCTTCACCCCCCCCTACCTGCCCTGCCCCATGGAGGGGAGAAGAGAGAGGGGTAGAAGGGTAGGAGGGTGAGGAGAAAGAGGAGAAGGAGGAGAAGGAGGAGGACGAGGAGGAGCCGAGCGTGACGAGGCGCACGGTCTTGCCTCGGCCGCCAGCGCCTGCCGCGCGCCTCCGCGCCGCGGCCACCGCGCCTAGCCCCAGCTCGCAGGGGCGGGCGCACCAGGTACGCGTACTTGAAGAGGTACGCGCACAGCAGCTCCGAGGACCCCACCAGCACGGGGGAGAGGAGCACGCTGCACCCGAGGCGGGCGGCGCATCGTCCGCGATGCACGCAGTGCCGCCCGCGCCGCAGAGCGCAGGGTCTCCGCGTCGACACTGTTCTCAATTCGGAGCATGTGATAGGTGCCGCAGGCGATGACCACCCGCCCGGTGTTGTCGATGCTTGTGTCCAGCAGTGCGCGGTTCGCCACGGCCTCGGTCTGGGCGGCGACACGGGTCGCCGCCGCAACGGCAGCAGCCAATGGGGCGCACGTCACGTAATGTTTCTCGGAGTCGGCGCCAACGGCGCACTGGAAGATACAGCGTCTGCGCCCGCACTCGTAGCTGATCCTGCTCGAGGTCAGCCACGAGAAGGAGAGAGTCCGAATGCGCGCTGCGGCCCGCGACGGCGGCAGCCTCTTCATCGCAATCGTCCTCCTGTCGAACACCTCGGAGTCGTTCTCGAAGGTGTTCACGAGGTCGGGTAGCTCGGTCGTCAGCCTCTTCGCGAGGAACGTGCCGACCTCGTCCGCGCCCAGTGCACTCCTCGCAGCAGCATGCGCCATCCGCTGGGCGCGGGCTGGCTTGCCTGCTGCGAGAGACGCCCTCGCGGCCTCGAGGCAGGGGCAGGCAAGGCGGGCGGGTAGTAGCGGTGGTCCGTCTCCGCGGACGCGATCGGGTGGAACGTCTCGACGAAGGGCGGCGTCTTCCACCAGGGCGGGGAGAGATGCTGTGCAGCACGAGCAACGCCCAGCGTGGTCTGGCCCTCTCCGTACTGGCAAAATCCCTGGTGGAGGCGTTTGCGGAACTCGGGGAACTTGTGGAGGGTGGACGTTGCGGCGCGGACCATCGCGACAATCATCGCGAGCTGCGTGGACCGCGGCGCGTGCACGCCCCGGTCCTGTAGCCTCGGCCAGTCCTTGACCCTGAACGCGCCGTTGGGGAACCTCAGGACTGAAGTATTGATCCAGTTCTCTGGAAGACTCGTGGGGCAGCAGAGCGCACTGGGCTAAGTTGCTGAGGACAGGGAGAGCACTGCTATTGAACAACTGGGCGGGGCCCATCGAGGGCGCGTCGCTGGCGCTGCACATCTTGGCGCGCTGGCAGAATTTCTGGAGCCCTTCGCGTTGAGCAGGCTCTCGGTCGCTCCAGGCCCCAGGAGAAGACCGAGGTAGGTCAGGTTGTCGCAATTGTTGAACTCCTGGAAGCGCGGGGCGATCGCGACCAGGGAGTCGCGCAGCATGCTCACGGGCTCGTGATCGACAGGACCCGCAAGCGGGATGATGTGGCACTTGGCAGGCTTCAGCGCGAGGCCCGCGAGGTCTTCCACGAGGGCCATCACCCCCTCCAAGTGCGCGAGGCGGGCGACCGCCGCCAGCGCAAGCCCGAGGTCATCGGCGCAGGCGCGGCGCAGCCCGTAGCCCTTGAGCTCGAGCTGCTGCTCCAGGTCGCGGAGGACGCAGGCGGCGCCCATCGCGCAGAGAGTGCCGCTCCACCCGCAGCCCTGGATGATGCCCGAGCGGATGTAGAAGAGCTGGGCATACAAGCCCGCGCACGGGGCCATCGCGAGGATGTTGTGGCACATCAAGTCGAAGAAGTTCAGCGCAACCACGGGCGCCCCTATGGCCTTCAGCGCGAGGCGGATGAACTGGTGGGCGAAGCTCGGGAAGGCCTGCCCAGCTCGAGGATGTTGTAGCCGGAGTTACGGCGGTGGATGAAGCCACGCTGCGATAATGGCACCGCATCAGCGGCTACCGCGGCCATCGCAGCGTTCGCGGCGCTGCCGATGACCCTGAGAGAGGTGATCCGAAGCCCAAGGTCACGAAGTTTAGACGGGTCACGGTGGCAGCCGATGTGCTCAGCGTCGTCAGGTGCTTCCCCTTTTGGAAGGGGTGCCTGGGCCGTCGCGTTTGCTTCGTCGGGGGGAAGCCGCCGCCGAGCATCCAAGTCGTGACCTGCAGGAGGGTCTCGGTGCACGCCTCATGCGCGGACCGGGCAATGTAGGGGGGCCCGTCCATGCCAGGGGGGGTGAAGGAGGATCTGCGCGCGAACCCCCTGAGCGCGTCGTTGTCGGGGGGCGCGTAGCTGTTGAGGTCGACCTTGGGCGCGCATCGGTTGAGGTAGAGCTCCGCCGCCCCAGTGTCCACAGTCTTGCCCTGGAAAACGGGTTGCCAACGATCCGCCAGCTTCTGCAATCTCTCAGTTGGCCCCGTCACTGTTCCAATTGCTGTCTGCGCGTCAGTGCGCGCCAAGCCTTTTGCTAATCGGGCTCCAAAGCTGGATCTTGCGGCGCAGAGCTTGGGACTGGGCGAGGGTTTGGGCATGGGGAAGGCACCCTCGCTGTCGAGCCAGATCAATGGCGGCTTGTCGTTGGTCCGCACCATGGCGGAAGAGGGCGCTGGCCCACTCCTCGGACGAGGCGGGGTCCGTGAGCTTTATCTGGTCATTGCCGACGTCGAGGATAGCTTGGGCTCTGGCATGGGCGCGGAGGAGTCTGGCTGCCAGCTTGCGATCCTGTCTCCAGGCCGCGCGGGCGATCGATTTGGCCAGCTGGGGCTGGACATCCCCATGCCCAGGATTTACTTCGTGAGTGCGGTCTCTGCGGCACGGGCGACTTCTCGTAGGAGTTCCGCTTTCTGGGGCAGTCTTGCTGGCGGCGATAGTTTGTCGAGGTCGGTCTGCAAGAACACCCTCTCCGCGATCTGCTCGGCATTGGGGACTTGAAGATGCACTGGGCAATCGGCTGGATCTTCTCAGCTTTGAGGTCACGCATGGCGAAGGAGACGAGAACTGCGGCATGGTAGCTGACCCGGCGGCGGGACAGCAGCTCGGGGGTGGAGTAGGTTGTGGAGGTGACGGCGAGCTGGATCATCTGGGAGGGCGTGATCGAGCAAAAGCAGCGGTCGATGGTTGACCCCACCAGCGTCTCCGCACAGAAATGAGTTGCGCCGCTGCCCTCGATCTCCACCATGCGCTTGCGCGCGCCGTGCCGCTTGCGCGCCGAAGCTTTGGAAGTCTCGGTTGCCTCCGACGAGGCTCTGGCGGTCTGTTCGGTAATATTCAGCTTACCGACGGCGAAGTTGACGTCCCCGAAGACGACCAGCACGGTCTTGCTCGGTCTGGCCCTCGCCAGGTGCATGCCGCTGCTGATATTGGCCGAGATGCGCTTGACCGCCGCGTTGCCGATCTCGTAGTTGCGGAAGGTGTAGGAGATCATCATCTGCTCATCAGCCTGGAGAACGGTGCGCAAGACGCGCCCTGCGAGGAGGGTCTCGCCCACCGCGTTGAGACCTGAAGGAGGAGACCGTAGCGACGCGACCACTGACTCCCCCGTGGTGACCTGGCGCGGAGGGAGGAGTGCATGGAGAGCTCGGCGCTGATCTCCCACATGAAAAAGCAAGAAGCTGGGCGCGCTTCTAACGGCCCTCTGGGATGCCCAAGATCATCTCGTCGCGGGGGAAGGGGGCACAGGTAGGAAGACTTCTCAACCACTCGGCGCCCTTGGTAGCGGAGGGGGGCCCGTGCATTCCAAGTGCCAACCACCAGACTCGGAGACGGACCACATGGCGCCAGCTTCAGCCTCTTGGCGATCTTGCCGAAGCCAAAACTGAGGAGCAGCCTCGGGCGTGACCACGTCATTGATGGCGCCCTTGATCTGCCCTCGGGAGATGCCCAGGGTGGGAAGGCCCGTGTCCTGATAGGCAATCGTCGTAGCTTCATCACGTCGGACCAGTTGGCCGAGATCCAGCCCTCGGCGCGGTCAACTCTCCATGCGTGGGTAGGGGAGGCCCGCTCCAGGGCCTGCCGAATGCGCTTGCCGACGATCTCTGTCTTGATTTGCTTGGGAGACTTGTCTGGCCCCGCCCGCAGCTCGACAGACCCGTTGCCTGCAATAGCTGGGGCGAGGATGCGGGACCAGCTGCCGTCACGACTGCGAAGACTGTCCACTGCTTTCTGAACTCTGCGGGGGGCGGGCCCAGGCAGGCCCGTGAACTGGATCGTAACTATCTGGAGGTGTCCTGGCCATGTACCTTGAAGTGCGATTCCTCGATGCCGCAGTCGGTGATCCTCTTGGTGAGCGCTTCTGTGGCTTTGTCGAGGGTGACCAGGCCGTCCGCATGCACGTTGACGATAGTGAGGTCCACATCTCTGTCGAACTCGCGGCCCGCGAAGGTCTCCTGCACCGGTTGCCTGTTGGCCACTTCGAGCGCTTTCTGCAATGTCGCGATATGTCCGGACATTTGGGAGATGGCCTTGTCAGCATGGTCCTTGCGGCTATCGATGTCACCCATCCGCTGGGAGAACGCGTCGAAATGTTGCTTGGAGGACTTAAGGGTGGCGTCGATTTGCTGGCCCACGGCGAGGCCCACTTCCTGCTCGATGTTGCCCGAGAGGCCGTTGGTGCGAGCTTGGGCTGCAGCGAGCGCAGCTGAGATGGGGCCCGTGGCCGCACCCATCGCTGAGGAGACTGATGCGTTGATGGCGCCCCGGATGGCGGCCTCCATGGAGCCAGGTTTGTCCTTGAGACACTGGACATGGGCCTTGGTAGCGAAGGAGTCCTTGAGCGAACGCCACGTCCACTAGGAGGATCAGCGCCAGCATGACCCTGGCCCTTGCGCTTCTGGATGCCACCGCGTCGGGGCGCCCCGTCTGCGACCGTGGCTGCGGGAGGGGCGTCCGCCATGTAGAGACACAAATGGGGAGACGTTCGATCAACGGGATAGCCTTGCCCCGAGCATGCTCGGACGCAGTCCGCGGACTAGCGGTCTCCGGTCGGCCAGGAGGCTGACAGCCTCCCAAGGTCGGCGTCTTGAGCCAAACAATGGCCACGGAGGAGGAGGAGGAGGAGGAGGGGGGGATGAGGGAGGAAACAAGGGGGAAGGCGAGGGGGAAGAAGAGGGAAAGGCGAGTCATGATGGGAAATAAGGTCTGGAGGAGGACGGGGGGGAGGATTGGGATTGGGATTGGGCCCGTAGGAATTCAACTGCAGCTGCTAGACGCCTGAAGACACGGCTTACCTTCACAGTTAGGGGAACTCTGGGGGGCGAATCGTGATTCGCCAAACCGTCTGATGCGGCCCGTGGCACACGACGGACGCCGCACCGCCCCTGCGAGCACCCCCTGGACGGCACGCAGCCTACGGAGGGCCCGCTCTTGGGGACCAGTGAGTGCTACCGACGACCCGTCTTGCCCTTGCCTCTGCCTTTGGCCCTTGAAGGCCCCCCCTCTCTTTGGATAGTCGGGGCATTGGACACTCCAGAACCATGAGCTGAGGGCCAAGGGGGGGTCGAGGGTTCAAAACTTCAGAAGACACGAAACCCCTACGAATTTGATCAGCCAACCTTTCACTCGCCCGCAGCGGATGTTGGTGACTGACACCGCGAGAATCCGACGCGGACCCTCCTACCCCGCTGCTCACGGGCAAGCTACTCGACTGTAAAGCGCTGCTGCCACTACTGATGCTACCTCCTTTTCCTATGCCTGGGCTGCGCCTACCTACTTGAACTCCGCCAGCAACTTCGAAGCGCCCCGCTCCAAGGGGCCCCGCGGCGCGGGCCCGATGCGCCTCTCCGCCTTCAGCGTCTCGAGCATGGCCGTCAGGATCTGCATCAGCTGCGCGTGCCTCGGGTGCTGCGTGTCGAAGGCGACGATCAACCTGCCCTTCGGCTTGATCTCGGTCTTGTTCTTGTTGCGCTTCCACTGCCAGTGTAACACCAGCTCCCCCACTTGCACCGCCGACGCCTTGCAGAGGTACTCCTTGTAGAACTCGCGAGCGAAGGCCATCCACGGCCCTTGCTTCACGCCCTCTTTGTTGTGCTGCAAGGCCGCCCAGTGCATGGTCGTCACGAAGATGGTCACGAAAGGCGGACCTCTGCTCTGGAAGTCGACGGCTTCTCCTTTTTTGCCTTGGCCTTGAGCTCCTGCGACTGGTCGTTGTAGTCCGCCCCCGCGCTCTCGTTCGTCGCCGCGAAGTCCGTGTCCGCGCTGATGTCGCACGTGCGGCACACCGTGCTCGACACCTCTGCCAGCGCGCGGCTGTCCGTGAGCACGAGCTTGCCGAGGATGAGCACCAACTTGAGAAGAGCGTCTTGCCCGCGCGCCGCCTTCCTCGCCTCCTCCCTGACGCTGCTGCCACCTGCGTCGCCGCCGCGGCCCTTTTTGCTCGCAGGGCCTGACGACGGGCCCCTCAGCCACGCGGGGCGCCCCAGCGCCTCCTCGTCCGCCATCTCCGACATCAGCAGCAGCCGGCCCAGAAGAAGATGATGCGGATAGATCTGCCTCTGGGGCAGGGGATATGAACGGGTCCACCTCGCACGGAATATGGCTTGTGACCAAACGGCTACATAAGTTGTCCAAATCGCTGGCGTGATATCCGCATACCCTGCATTCCAATGGCGGTGGAGGCCGAACCCCCGAGAAAGTCGCCGAACCCCGTGACGGACATTTACCACTCATGAGGGCCCTCTGGAGGCGCTTGTAAGCGTTAGCCTGGCTAGCGAATACACGTCTACATACTATGCATGTGTTTGTAGGGGTCAGCGTAGCAGATAGATTGTGTACTTGGTGTATTTGGCGCATATGGTTCATGAGGTCCCTCTTGGTCTGAAACCCGTGCCCACATACCGCCCCCGCCTACGAAGCCCATTCACACTTCCAAGGGAACTCCAAAGGTGCTCCTGGGGTGTCCTGCATTTCTGTCGCGTAGAGGTCCGAGGGAGGGATCACCTTTGCCAGCTCTCGTGCACGGATCTCCGTAAAGTCCACGCGAGTCCAGAACTCACGATGATCATCATTCACTAGATCGCCTGGACAGCGAGCAAAATGAGCACAAAGGTCGCCCTCGTCGAGCGCATCTGCTGCACGCCGAAAGTCAGCCTGCAGTCGAAGAAGCCACGGAGATGCCAGTTTGGGGGGGACAGCGTTGTCGTGCATCGGTTTGCCCCCCGCGTCCAGGCCCAGGGCCCCGAACAACGAGCAAAGCTCCTGGCTGTGGTTCTTCGGGGAGAGGGCCCAGGTACGATACCGCCCAAGACGCCTGACCAGCAACTCCGTTTCAGAACTAGCTAGACGCCAATGCTGCATCACTCTCTTGTTCGACCACGACCGAGTCTTCCCGTCCACCGTCGTCGTCGCCTTCCCCTGTAACGCGCTCCTCCCATAACGAGCCAGAAGCGAGTCGAGTTCGCGATAGTGACGATTGGTGAGCAGCAGTGGTTCTAATCCAGTGAGCGCCGCATTCTGCACGAAACTCAGAAACATATCTGGCCAGAGACCATATCTGGCCCAAGGCATAGTAGGACTCAGCGGTAGCTTGAATTCTGCGACTAATCTCCACTGAAGAAGATAACAGCAAATTAATGTCGGGCCCCAGGTACCGAACATGCTCCTGAAGGTATCCTGCAAGTTGTTTTCGACCCTGACCCCTCGCCCACTGTTGACACTGTAAAGCCCCAGGTCCCTGAAAGCAAAGCTGAACCTCCTGCTTCCCGATGTTTTGGGATCCAACTCCTCCGAAAGGGCCGCGTCAGCTTGCTTCAGAACCCGAAAAAACTGCCCACTGCACCGTGAGGTTGGGCCACGTGAGCTCGGAAGATATCGTCGGCATAAAGGCAGCCACCGACGTCAGCACGTAAATCTCGCCAACGAGCGACCAGCCCAGCAGCAGACTTGTCCAAATCTCTGAGACGACGAAGCCACTGCAGGATGGGTCGAGAAAAGGTTCCCCGAAAGAGCTCCACGACAAACGGATCTCCCATCGTCCCTCCTTCCCCCGTCTTGATGTACACCCCACCCTCCAAGGTCTCTAGCCAGATCACACTGCATCGAAAACGTTGAACACACAAATCTACATCCTGAGGTTCTGCGTGGAGCTCTACCGTCTGGTCAAGTTCTCCCCAGTCCCCACTGGCGAAAGCGTTGGACATATCCTTACAAGTGAACGCGAACGAATGTCCAGCGCGTCGAAGGCGCCAGCTGAGGAGCTGTGCAACTAGAATAGCTCCTTAACGACGTCTGCCTTTGCAGAAGCCGTGCTCCGTGACCATGGGAGGAACCCGAAGAAGGCCTGAATAAAATGCTTTCCCAACTGTCGGCAGTACATGTACCGTCCTGCGGCCCGTGGGTCCTGGCTTGGCGTTTTTTGTTTTCGAAGTTGTGCTCCAGAAATGATGTGCCACCGAAGCGGGGTCCGATTCGTAGCCCGAACTATCCGAAGGCCTCCCTCAAGAATTTTCCCAAACAGCTTCATCTCAGGGGTTACCTGCTCGTAACCTACCCCGTGCCCCTTGATGTCCATGTTGGCCTCTGGGTCCATACAAAGCAACCAAACCTCAGCTGGCGGGGTCCCTGATGGCACAATGCGTCTCTTACTGGCACTCCTGAAGTACTTCTGGATTCTCCACTGGTCTTTCTGGGCGAGCTCGCAATCCTCGGGCGTGATGTAGGGGGTGGGGCCGGGTGGATATTCGTTCAGCCAATCTTCGAAGATAATTTTACGAGCCGACATGCCCCCGTCCCTGCTTTTCTGGCCCCAGTGGTCGAGCAACTCCCTCTCTGCAAAGTAGCCACCTCGCAGAAGTCGTCCGTCACCTCTCTTCGGTCCGAAGCGGCACCGCGCCGCCTGCCTCGAAAGCCTCATCGCCTCTGCAAGGCGTCGGGCCTGCCACGCCTCATCAATCTCATCCAATAGAGCGGTACGACGTTGCTGATCAAGTTGCTGCCGTTCTCGACGTAGACGCTGATTGAGCCTCTTCAACTGCTCCTCGCACTCGTGTAACTCTGTGGAATCTTCGTTCATGTGCTGTCGAGACCGTCGGAGTCGAGCACGTTCTTTCAGAAGCTCGGTTCGATCTGCCGCTGCACGCCTATATGCGGGATCGTTAGATACAACATGGCCAAACATCTGTTGCCCGTTAGATACCAGCACATCATCAAGGTGAAGAAAAACTTTATCTGGTCTCCCGTCGGTCAGCATGGCCCTCCAAGTATCTTCCGTCTCCTGCAGGCGCGCTTCCACCTTCTCAAGAAACTCAACTCGACGATGTCCTCGTCGAAGACACTGCATAAGGTCGCCCTGATTCCACCTCATACGCTCTGGTGTCGGCGTCTCTGTCGTGCACAGCGCCTGCATGCCGTGTAGCTCCATGTAGACTGGGACGTGGTCCTTCGGCGGGGCCCCCTTGAAGGCCTGCAACTCCGCTCCCAAGATAAACAAAGGAGAAAACTTCGGTGCCATATCAATCATACGGGGGGGAGGATGAGGGAGGAGGAGGAGGAGCAGCAGCAGCAGCAGCAGCAGCAGCAGCAGAGGCAGCAGTGAGGAGGAGGAAGGAGGAGGGAGGAGGGAGAGGAGGAGGACGAGGAGGAGGAGGAGGAGGAGGCGGAGGAGGAGGGAGGATGAGAGAGGAGGAGGAGGGAGGGAGGAGGGGCGGGGGAGGACGATGGAGGAGGAGCAGCAGCAGGAGGACGGCGGAGGCACGTTCTCGGGCCCCGACATCCCAAAGGCCTACCACGACATGCTCCCAAAAGAAGAGAACAATCGCATTAGTCAACTCATTGTATTAAACATGCCAGCGATGTGTTGAAGCAATGCCGTCTAAGCCAGAAGTGCCCTCCAATGACATCTCGTGCAAATCACAGAAGGCGCTGGGAGCATTTTTTGACGGGCCTGTAGGCAGGTCAGGAGGGACGCTCCGCCACTGCTCGACAAAAACGGATCTGGGAACAAACAAGCAAAAGATGGTGAAACTTTCGGGACCTTCGGTTAGCGGTGAACCCGGGGGGGGGAAAAAAGAAGCGGGCATCCTCAGAAAGCTCGGAAATCCCCCGGCCTTCTGAGAAGATTTCTGCGCCTTCCGGAAGACACCGAATAACCTTCTCAGAAGGCGCGAGGGCTTCTGAGAAGTCCCCCAGCCTTCTGAGATTGCCTACAAGGAGAAAATC